AACCAAGGAAAAAAACAGACAAACCAGCCAAAACAAACGGGCAGACAGACAAACAAACAGTCAAACAAACAGACATACAGACAGACAGACAAACAAACAAACAGACAGACAAACAAACAAACCAAAACAAACGGGCAAACAAACAAACAAACAAACACCCAACAGATTCTCTTGGCACTGTTTATCATCTGAGTTACCAATTTACCCCTACTCTTAGAGCTGGCCATGTGTTGGGCATGGGCCCTTGTGAGGCGCCATACCTCCGTTTCCAACATCACTACGGTCCCGGTGGATGAGGAGCCCCTATTAAATGCACCCGAGGTGTTCTTGATAGGGGGGGCCGGTGCTTTTTTTAACTAGGTCCTAGGTGGAAGGGATTACAGTGGATGAGGATACTTCAGTCAAGCTTTTCCAACTCAAAAGCTGGGATCAACCCATCTTCACGTCACCAACAGCCTGCCTCCTGCTTCGCTTGCACTGCCGCCACCTGGAAACCCAACTCCCCCGATGAAAAACACGATGAAAAACTGCCCGGTGCCACCGAGGACTGGCGTAGGACGGTGGCGGCCGGCGCCATGGACGAGGATCATGTTCAGGTTATGGTCCAAGAACCCATAGAACATGGTAGCATTTCATCGGTTTGATGCTGTGTCCAAGTAGTTTTCTTGTCAAAAGAGTCCCACCATGTCCCACCCGCAATTTCGACTTGATACAGCATCTAAGCTGTCATCTTGTTAGAAGAGTCTCCTTCTTGCGCCTCCGCCCACCTGCAACTGTCTGGGCACCCCCTGCCGCAGCAATGCGGGAGATCTTCTTTTTCTCCTGTAGAACCGTGCCCGTATGACTCCGGTTTCACAATAGGCAACAAGCAAATGCACTGATGTAGAAACTCATAACAACCAGTTGATTGAGATGGACTCCTTCCTCTCCTCTTGGTCCCAGGCTCTTTAGGGTTGTGCGAGTTTGAGTAATTATATGTACAGTATATAAATACTTTTCATATTCAGTCAACAAATAATTATGAACATGTTGTTGCACACACACACAAATATCAAGGCCGTACCCAACCTCACTGCAACCAAAACGTGAAGTTTGGGATCCACATTTGACAGGTTCTTCTGTTTGACATGCATCCAATAGTCCAGTAGCTTGCTCGGATCTTGATCTTGTACCCTTGCTTGAATTGCATCTGTTTGCCTTTAAGACAAGCAGGCGACCAAGAACCTACAAGTTCATACTAAAAACCACTTCCCTTTCTTGAGGGGAGTATGGCAAAAAAGTCGTAAGTCTTAGAATGTCTTAGACATACCCTCTCATCACTCTGCCGATCACCAAATCTCCTTTTTGCTGATCCTCTTCTGTTCCTTCTCCTTCTCTTTCCTGAGAGGCGTACGGCATACGGCCTCTGCACACTCACATCTTTTAAAAGACTTCATAATGGTAACTTAAGCCAGTGTCAACGCGTATCGCAAGACCTAGTAGATCCCAGTAGGCTAAAAAAGACACCAAGCTTCTCATCGGAATCCTGCTTTTTGGTATAATTATAGACTTATGGGTCAAATAACCATGGATTTGGGATGCTTCTTTGGCTTCCTCATATTGCCCCATGGGCCGGCCCTATCTGAGTCCCCCGGCTCATCCACCTCCTCCTGTTTGGCGCTTTAGGACTTCCGTGACACCGTGTTCGGGACTCTCGTTGTGTCGGGCGAGGTGCAATGACGAGCAGAAAGTCTACAGGACTTCAGTCTTGGCAAAGAGTTCTATAGGTACAACAAATGCATAGGATGGTCTATAGCACTGACAGTCACCAAGATTGCACCTAATAAAAGGCAGGGAGCATCTAAGTTGAGACAAGCACCGTATTTAGTGTTTTTGGGGTCGCAGTTATATAGCAGGTTATAGCCAAAAACATGATACAATGCATACGATTCCAGCAGTTCCCAATCACTTACTTCGGATTTGTGACAAGAGTCAATGGTCTGGGCTATCTTCCGAAGTATCAATCCAGTCTGTTCATCAATGCCTATGTATGACAAAACAGTGAACAATCACCCAACAAAAAATCGCAGCACTACGCCGCACCTGGACCTGCTTGGTTCTAGTTCCACAATCCCCACAACCGCTGGGGAAACGTGTCACGTCCAGCATCATTCAGCCGACTTCCAGGCAGCCAGGCCTCCTCTTCCTCAGGGGCGGCCTGAGAAGCTTCCACGATCTCTTCTTGGTCGATACCGGCCTGAGACACTTCTTGCCAAGCTCCTGGACTCCTCGCTCCCTCCCGCCAATCACCTCATATCTGAGGTGAAAGCGATGGTGAACTCGGATCATTGTCACCATTCGGTGGGATGGCTGTCAATGTCCGATCATGGCCGTTGCAGTAAGTGCCGTGCCATATCGTGCCATTCACTTGATGAATCCCAGGACGAAAGTGTCTATGATACCCCTTACCACCAGAGTGGCACCCCTGAGGGTGTCCTGGTATGGCGATTCATGTGAAAGTGAGGATTCCAATAGGGATTCATGCGAAAGAGCAAACCACCCAGCTATCCAAGTGGGGCTTCCAATCCAATAGGGGATTTTGCATGAATGTCCGATAGCCAATATAGGTATCCAACACTACGACTACAAATTATAAACTATAACTATAAATGAAGAAAGGGGACACAAGTGAAAAAGGGGGTGCATCTGATTCCACTCCAACACACACATGCCAAAGATTCCGTGCGCATCATTCCATTCCCATCTACAACATTCAATTCCCTCCCTCAGGATCGCCTCACTGCGCCCGGCTGATCGGCTTGGACCCACACCTTTGCTTCTTGCGCCGCCCTGCTGCACCACCCTGCCATCCTTACGCACCCCATCGGGCCTTGGTGGCGGCGGCCAGGGCTTCAGCCACCCGGGCCTTCGCGGCCTTCATCAGCTCTCCTGGTCTCGACGGCCGCTCGCGGGTTAGAGCTTCAGTGAGAGGAGGGTAGGTAGACATGCATATGGAAGTAGGTAGACATGCTTAATAGGGACAGTGTGTTTGGTCCAATATGTGTTCAATCTGAAGACCAGTGTCTCCTTTTCCCTATTTCCAGTACAACCGCAAGGGAGGTGGACATGGCAAAAAACTCATCATTTGGCATATTAACCTGTAGTGGGACGGTTCTAGGATGTTCTAAGTTCTAGGCCGTTTTGGGGTCAATGTTATACATTCCATCCATGAAGTGCCTGGGGTTTTCCAACATCTTCTGTCATGGTCCAAATCTCGTGGCGGGGGGGCAGTCTGCAAAGTGACATCTTCAAACGCATCTTCCAATCTTAGCAAACTCCAGGAATCCAATGTTCACCCTCTCAAAGGATCCTTCAAAGAACCCTAAAGCCTATCGACTATCCTAGTTGGGTACCCCTAGTTTTCCGGGTCCACTGGCGACCTCTGCAGGTGTTCACCCTCTCCAAGTGCGAAGCTGGATCCGACTCTCCACCCATCGGGCGTCCTCCACTCGGGTCTTCCTCTGGCGAGGTGGCCAGCTTGCCTTGGCGCCCACGAGAACCAGACCGACGCGGAAAGACCGGGTGTGACCGTGTGGGTTTTCCAAAGACCTTGGAGAGGCTCCAGAACGACCGGTGTTTCCAAGAGTTTGAGACATTGGTTGTACTTGTTCCTACCCAAACCATACCCAAACGATGTCTGTGCGTTCTTGACTAGCCAAGGCATCCGACTTGCTTGAAGGGTATATTGCAAATCTTCAAGAATTGGACACATCATATACGGGCAATACAGTGCTGCGCGTCAAATGCTGGACGATGAACTAAAATGAACTAAACATACCTGAAAATCTTCCCAGGAATGACGCGTGGTTGGTGGTCTAAACTTTTATATAATCGAAATCCCAGCAATTGAGATGGCATTCCTCAGTCTAGGTTGTTTTCACTGTCTCTCTACCTTCCCACCAGGATACCAGGATGGACATGGATGGACCATGTCTTGGAAAATATTGTTAAAGTTAAACAACTAGAAAGGCAAACAGCATACACGCACACACCCGAACCTTACCAACCTCGACTTTCAAAACGCAGCTCCAGTGGCGGACAATCTTGAGAGCTTCCTTAATGTCGTCCAGGAATTGCTTCTTCCGCGCAGCCTGAGAGGTCACTCCCTGAGAGACTGATGGGTCCCGGCAAGCGGGGCTCCGATTGACAGCATTGAGGAGATGTTCGGCTGATGGTTGCCAATGGTTACCTTCTTGTATAAGAGAACTTTTCGGAGCTTTGTCGTTGGCTTCACAACAAGGGCAATGCCCCATGGACTGAATGATGATGCGGGTTCCTGTCATCTGCTTGGAACGTCATCACAAATTGAAGGCCCATGACAAATTACCGTCTTTGCTGGTCTCTGGACCGAATTGAAGCTCCTTCCCTCCCTCCACGCCAAAGACACCTGGAAGTGCTCAACTTCAAAGAACCGTCCCGGTTTCAAGGTTTGTTGCCTTTAGAGGACCCAGTGGGCCGTCGTAAATCCCATTGGACCCCCAGGTGGGCCGCTGCTTTTCCTCAAGCGCACGAGGCGGAGTCCAGGACTGTGGCGTGATCCTTGGCGTGCCCGCTGAGAGAAACAGGGCCGCCCTGCTTACAGTACACTGTTTGATGACTGTGGCGTGATCCGTGGCCCCGTGCGAGGTGTTCGCCAGGACTAACATCACAGAATCTGCAGGTTTTCAGTTTCCCTTGAGAATAGAGGTCTTGTTCCATCTGCTCCACGATCCGAGTAATCAGTGGATCCGTGTGAACACTCTCAATATATCAGCATAAAACCATATAAAACCCCACAAAGGAATACGGATCTTCAAATCTCTCTCGTCCTTTGCGCTCAAATAAGTATATATAAGCTGCTTTGGGAGCTGGCAGTTCTTGGGCCCTTCGCAGTACAACTCTGAACCTGTCATCTACGTCATTCGCTTCAAGCTCGAACTCCCCATCCCTGACTCTCGGCCGCGATGCCAAGTAAATCCAGCTTAGTTGAGAGCTCGCAGAATCACCATGCTGGCCGCCACGCCCAGGCCGCTCAAAATGGCCAGGTAGACCTGCAGAATCTCCAGCCGCAGAAGGGACATGTTTCGGAGCTCCGGCATGGTGCATCAGGGTCCATGCAAAAGAGTTCATGTTCTTGGAGAACTACGGTCATAAGGCGTTTAAGACTTGACACTGGCACCCAGAGACGGCTTCACGGTTCAACTTCTAGGATTCCCAGGGGGCTCCCAACACTCCAACTTCCAGTCCACCGTATCCCACACGGTGGCCACCGCATCGGGCAATGCTTAGAGTTGGTCCATGTTGGTCCCAAAAGGCCACAGGACCCGTGGATGACATGAACTTCTTAGGGTGTTTCAATTGCAGGAACTTGCCAACCAGCCATAGATAAGGGGCGTCCCTCCAGAATCACATTAATTATTCATGATTCATGACCATGAACTCATGACGATGACCCCTTTCCGCCACACTTCTCCAAACATGTTGGTGAGCCAACTAAGGGACCAAAGCTACACATGCTGCCCCAATGCAACAAATATAGGTCTTTCCAACCAATGCCACTGGTCCACCCGCACCAAAAAGACATCTGTTGACTTTGCGACGTGACGAACGATCCGCACAAAACCGGAGCCCAAGACACGCCCAGGCCGCTGGCCACTTGCCGTCCACCAGGACGTGGTTCAAGCTCTAAGCATCGTCCGCTCAAGATATCCTCACAATCTTTCAACAAGGTACCTCCGTGGCGAATCGGGGCGAGTCATCATGATAAGCAGGGCATGGACCGCCATGGTTAGTCCTCCCCAAGAGTCCCCCCCCCCCATGGTCGTTCCATGAGTTTGGCACTTCTGGAACTTTGCGCGGCATTTGGGACGCTGCATGGGTTCGTGATCAACAAAATAATTCAATGGATGGGGTATCATGACTTCAGCGAACTGAAGGAAGGCAAAGCTGTTGATGTTCTATGACTTTCTCCTGTCGCCTGTTGCCAAGCAGTTTGCAAACATGTGCGTTCTTGTTGCGGCGTGGGTCAGTCAGGTGCTTCTCTCTTCTAGTGGGTTCTATGCCAAGGAACCGCTCACACACTCCTTATATCCTAGATTCTAGATGTTCGCGTACTCCTTATGACACGCTTATTACAGGCAGGGGAGTTGGTCAAATTTGGGCTGGGTGCTGAAGACTATGTCATATAAGCCTGCTTTCTTGTCAATGGCCCATCACTAGAGCTGCTCCAGGCAAAAACTGGCACAGACATGTTCCGGACATAAGTCTTGGACTCCTAGAATTTTACATATTGTCAATGCTCCTAGTGCTCCAAAATCCAAAGTGGGCAACAAACTTGCCAATCATATCTTGAGATGCTGATTGCACGACCAAGCGCAATGCTTTAAAGCCATGAAATGAACATCCTTGGAAGATACAGCTCAGTTCTGTCTCAAAAGGACAACTCACAACTCCACTTTGGCCCCCCGTTACCCATCAACCTGGTTCATCTCAATACAACCCACCCAACTCCCTGCGCATTGCCTTGGAGGCTGTAGCTCAAGTGGAAGCTCAAATCAAAGCCAATGAGTGCCAACGCTGCGCCCGCACAAAGCATGGATAAGTTACTCCACGCAGCCCGCCGACCCACACTCACCTGAGCGCTTACAGTGACCGGTCACAGGTCCGCTGAGCACATCTGTGACACATCTGTGATCTGTGACACATCTGTGATCTGGTCAGCTGAGGATGTCAGGAATTTGTGGGAAGTGTTTCATTGGGATCCTTCATGGTGCGACACATCTGTGTGACATATGACCATCATATCCCAAACACGACGATCCATGGGACTGCCATAGGACTGTCGATCGGGGTGCCAAGCTTTGCACCTCACCCTCCCACGTGTGAGACCCGGCAGGCCGGAAAAAGAACCCTGCACCATAGACGACCAGTACTGGACTGACATGGCATGACATGGCTATATGCTGGGACCAGTACTGGCGGCTCCCTCGACCCTTCTGACAAAAAGGATGCGCTCCAGCAGCCCGACGCAGCAGCACTGCGACCGGGTGTGCAGCGCCGGTGCTTTCGCGCGTGAAAACGCTGCGGAGGGTAATCCCCTCCACACCAGTGTGTTTCTTCCCCCAGCGGTGTGGACGAATGTGTTGACTGGAGTGCTGTGAAAGGCTGTGACAGTAATTCGAAGCCAGGTACCTTTTCGTGAAGACCTGGACTAGCAGGAGGTGCCATATGCTACCACTACGAGGTGGCCCTCCATCGACGATCGTTCTTGCATTGACGTCGCAGTTGCCCCCTGACTGATTTTGAAAGGGTGTTCACAGCGCAAATGAACGGAATTCAACACCGTGATTCAGAACCGGATTCTTTTGTCCAGAAGTATTGAAAAGGCATCCACTGCAGGGCACCTTCTGGAAATGGCAAGACTTCGTGTCCCCAGGGCAGCAACTCAACTCGTTCTCGTGTTGTGATATTCTTCCATATTCTTCCAATACCAAAATCTGAAGGAATATGCTCCCAGACTGCCAGTCACCGTCCCAGCATGCCGCCCGTGCTGTCCATCCACCACCCTCACTCGTGCGGCTCCTCGTTCCGGTCCGTTGGAACCGCGCGTCCCTCGTCCGTCCGCGCCGCGGCACCGAGCAAAAGAAGGCACCCGGTAAGAAGTCCACCTGGCAGCCGGTGTGCACCGGTGTGGGCACCGTGACGTCTGCACCCGGTGTGGGCACCGGTACGGAAAGCACCGCCGTGGTTTCCTGCTTCGGTCTGGGATGATGGGTGGGATGAGTAGGACTGCTGTGGAGTGAAAATGGAACAGTTGCGCTGGAGGGAACGTTGAGGTTCCCGATGGTTCGAGCCTAAAGCAGCATGGTGAGACAGCCGACATGCTGCTAATGACGGCCTTGAGATTGGAGGAACGCATGACGCTTGATGCCGGTTTATCGAGTTTCATGATTGATGTATTTTAAAATACGTCCGGCTCAAATCAAAAGCCGCTCAAAATGCAGCGTAGCAGCTGCAAATTTATAGAAGTGTTGGACAACAATAACTTCAAGATTACCTCTACTACGTGTGCCGACACGCAAGTTTTCGAACAGTCCTCTCTCCCGACCCCATCAACACCGATGTCTATGCCCCCAAAAGATACTATAGTGCTGGAGGCGGACGAAAGAAACATGTGACATCATGTGACCCTCCTTCCAACACTCATAGAAGTCGCATGGCCCCTGGAAAGACCATGAAATCCTCTACCAACAAGGGAATTGTCGACTTTCCTGGGAAATTGGAGGGCAGGTTGCAAACTTCCATGGTTTTTTGGTCAACCCATCATATCCAAACCCCCTCTGCAGCTTCGCCACCGGCACCATCTGCCGCACAGCACGCCGGCCGCCGCGAGGGTCTTCGTCGCCCGGCTCAGCGTCAAATTGCACATAGACCGTGGAGGGGCCCTCCTGCGTATTTTAGATCGGGAATGTGCAACGCAAATAGGCAATCCGAAAGGAATATATATATATATATGTGACATATATCGAATTACAGTATCCATCATGAATCATGATCCTCGAACTAGCATGGTCCATGATGATCCTCTTTCTGCGAAGAGTGGACAAATCGTGGCGAATCGTGCCAAAGCAAGCGCCTAGAGTCCTGAGGAAAACTGAGAAGACTTGGCTGGGGACTGTGAATCATGGCACCAGGAGATGGTTGACCTACCTGGAAGGTCAAGCTATATGGTGGACCAGGGCTCCAGGTTTTGACCCATCCCCATATAAAGCAAGTGTCCAAAGAACACATCAGAGGCGCAAAGCACCAAGATTGACAAGGAACAAACAAAACACATGATGAGGAACTTTAACTTGACAATTTATGCCATATATATCGGGATAACGGGATACAGATTTGAACTTATTCATGAAGCTGAAATCTTCAAGACCGCCCCGTTCGCTTTTGGTTGGTCTCGTTACGCCCCACCAGCCTTGGGTCCTTTGAAGCAATTTACCAATGGACAAACACATTCTCAAACTGGCTCAGAGTGTGATCCCGCCTCAAATTGAATCCCAGACTCCCCATTAAATGGTGAAATGTGTTGGGGTCCTTTACCCCGTTTACCCTCACGTGACTCACCCAGCTCTCACCAGTTCAGAGCCAGACACCTCTGTGGGGAGGCCTCGAGAGTGGACCAAATTCCAAAGGTCGTCATCTGGCTCCTGTACGATGCCTTAGATTTTTGCCACGAAAACGAACAAAACAGCTCTTTTACAGCGGCGTCAGCTTCAGAGTCTCATTTTGCTCATCAGTGGCATCAGCCTCCACTTGATTCCCACCAAGAGGAGGAGCCTGCCTGGCCAACAAAGGCTAAAGAAAAAACAATTCAAAAACCCCTATTAGACGATCCCATAGGATGAAGTAGGTATATATACCCCAGGTTATGGGTCCGGACCAAGGTCACTTCACCCCCTCTCTTGGCGCCCCGCCCACCCACGGCAGAAATCGCTTGCTCCAACCGCGCGGCGTACGCCGCTGACGACGGACTGGCTCCGGCGCCACTGGCTCCGGTCCTCGTAGTCCTGAATGCGTCATTTGGGTGACCTGGAGCACCTCACAAATGACATACGCCCTGACTTGTGACGTAAGTGTGTGTTTATAGATTCTAGAGAGAGGGAGAGAGAGAGAGAGAGAAGGTAGATAAAGGAGAAGTCTGAAGTGCTTGTGTTCTGGTACTCGCATGCAATCCTACCTCAAAACGCAACAAAGGACAACACATATTGGAGCGGGCAAAACATATGTATTTTTTGTCCAAGTTAGGCCTTCAAACGGTAAACAAGAGCTCTATATGTTTTACTGAAGCATTGGTTTTAAGCCCCATTCAACTCGAAGGGGATTGCCTACATACGAGTTGTCGAACGTCGAGGCCGTACCAGGCGCCCACCACGTCCAATGTGGCATGGAGACGCAAGTTGTGGGGGAGTGCGATTGCCAAACACTTCCTGTATAGCACTATATACCAGGGCCCCCGGGCCAGGGGTGTCCAATTCTAGATCCGAACAGAGGTGATTCGGGGTATCCATTACCCCAAGCAGGGGGCCCTGGTAGTTGCTCACTTGCTGCTTACCAAGGGCTGCCCCTGCTCTTCTCATGGTGTTGCTACAGGGTTCAAAGGTGCAGGGTGGGCCCGTACCAGAGGTCACCATGAGTCAGCAGGGCCAGTGCTGGGCCAGGTCTGACCTCACTGTGCTACCCCCTCCTCACCAAGAAGAGGGCAACGTTGTCAAAACGAGTCTAAACGGCCTATTCCAACACCCCTGTCAGAGTAAAACCTAAGAATATGATGCATACCCAAGGATGTCCGCATTCAAAGAAAAATACCCACCGTAGCACATTGTTGGCATTCTTGGGCGTTTCGTTTGACCCACACCTTGATCAGTCTTGATCTGCTAAAACGCAACAAAATAACATTTAACATCAACAAAAAATTGGACAATTATGTAAACAGTTTATGTATGGGTGTTGTAGATGCTTCATCCCATACCATGCTCCACTTGGTGTCCGCCACATTCCTTCCCCAAGCCCCTTGGGGTGAAAAACCCTGCCCCAGACGCCCAAGGCTCCGAGTCCAAGAAATTCGCCACCTGCCAGCCCTCGCCCTTCGGGCACAGCCACACGTGACTCCGTACCGACTCCCCAGCGTAGAGTCCTCAGACGCCCAGACAGCTGACGGTGCAAAGCCAGCCCTAGAGTGATCCCGTACCGAACCTCAGGTACGGTGAGGATGGAGACACTGTGATGTAGGTGACAGGAAGGTGCAAGTACCTTCTTGAGAAGGTATGTGATCCCTGAGCTTGGAGCAGTCTTCTCGGATTTGGAACCAAAAAATTGGCACCGAGATGGGATGATCGTCCTCAGAGATGATTGTCTATCCCAAACAGTTGGGAACTCCAGGCGCATCCCTGTTTTGTTTTTATCCTTTTGAGAATTCTCAGTCATCGTTTCTTGGGTCTCCTCTTTTGCTGTGCAGGATAAGCACTAACCTCTGCAAATCTGGGCACAACATGAGGCAAAAGCATTGACAAGTTGAAAAACCATGCACAAACATTTTGTCCACTATAGCAGTTGAACACTGTAGGGCCATCCATGCTCGGCGTTGCAGCTGGAAATCGGGTACTTCGATGTTCGGAGAAGCGAACCGAACCTTCGCGCTTCGTCCGGCTTCGCCGCGCGCGTTTTCCCACGGAGGGGAAGGTCGTTTTCGGGGGAGGTCTATCCGAGTGGGCCGGTTCCGTGGAATGCGTGTGTCCCTTACAGTGGTTCCAGAGTAGATGGCACTGGCACCCCAAGATAATCTTTTATCATCTCTAAGGGGTCCGTATAAATTTCCGAACTTGGGGTGGGCTTGTGCCATTGAACCGCTGAAACCACTGTATAATACTGTATACCTGGACCATCCAAGGGGTGCCCTGTTTGGAAGCCTATAGGTAGTGTGGGGTAGCCCATTGGACACCCCGACAGGATGGTCCTGGTATGTGTCGTTAGTCCAGGAGTCCGTGGATCAGATTCTCCTGATACTCCCGGAAGTCCAGAAGCGTCACAGCCATTTGATCATCATCCTGGAGCGATTCACCTCGAGGCCCAGCAGCGAGGATAACCAGTTGGGCCAGGAGTAGAATTCCAATGCCTAGGCCGCAGAAGCTGATGTTTCACGCACTGACTAAACGTTAACACTATTTGTATATATGCAACAATCAACCACAAACAGAACTAAGTCACTGGGGATCTTCATCCGCAATCCTAGGGCTGTTAATCACGCTCTTGTGAGCTGCTTCCTGTGGCAAGCTGCGGGTCCGAGGTTGACTTCTGGCAAAACAAACATCTATGTCAGCCTTTGACCGGACTTTTTGGCGGTCTCTTGTTGTTGACATGTGTTAACCATTTGTTTGTTTTGCTTGTTCGAACAGCACACGAACTTGTAGCGTCTCAGGAGCATAAGGCACCCAGTAGGCAGGGGATGCCGCTGCCATTGTGCCGCCCGCAAGATCCCAGCAACAGGAGCTGCGCTTCCACGTCGAAAAGGCCACCAGTGTTGGGCAAGGAGATCTCATTGATGCAGCCCCAACAGGACGAGGAGGCACCAAAAAGCAGTATCATGGTGAGACCTCCTGAATCGAAAACTTACGTTGTGCGACTTCAGGGAATTCCTAACACATAATCGCTGGCCCTAGTTCCTATATTATATGATATATATATATGATTATATTATATATGTAACAACCTTCCCGAATTCCCGATTGAACACATACTCCATTGGGACAAAATCAAGATGTGGTTTGCTTTTTGTTTTTCATTTTAACAATACACTGTACGACTATTTTGTTGGGAAGGCAGCTGTATTAGGCCGATCTCTCAAGCAATTTTCTGCATTAAACTTATGCTCCTTTGTGGGGGGTTGTGCCACTTTGAGGAGCAATATAGGATCGTTTTGAAGGAGTTGGACATTCCTTCACATTGAGGATTGCTTTACTTCAGCCAGTAAGTAGTTCTGCTGTATAGATCTTTACAATGGTTTGTTCATGTTGCGGTTCCTTTCCAGATTTTGGTTTTTGGGGTCTTCCATGTCATGTGTTCTCCCGATTCAAACCCTCACCATGCGTTTTGCAATGAATTACTAGGCAACAAAAGGGCCACCAAGGATCAGTGCTTGGACTTCTCCAAAGAATGCCGGTTCCTCTCCCTGGCTGTCGCCCGAACCCACCAGACTACCGAACCGTTCTGGAGGTGGACGCCGACGCCAAGCGTCCCAGGACCAACAAATACTTCCTTCGCCTCACCAGCATGGTGGGTTTTTCCGCATAGAGCCCGAACTGAGCGTAGACCAGACCATCGGGCCACTGCTTAAAACGCGTGAGAGGCAACGGAGAGCCGTCGAGGCAGCGCAGGTCTAAGAGCTCTTTTCCTGACAAAGCGATCAACAAAGGTTTGGAGGTGCCATTTAACTTTAATAGAGGACCCCAAACCAATAAGTGTTGATCTATTTTCCTTCTTCCAGAGGGGTCGAACTGGGAGGTCTCCCTAGTTTGATACACACCTGGAGTCTGGACCTCAGGTGGTGGAACCAAAGAGGCAATTAAGCAACAACTGGGGTCACCTGCATTCATCTATATACAGCAACAGTATATATGATTGACTACTGATATCTACTGATCCTGGCCCGAATGTACTAAGATTGACCATCCAATTATATTAATATACCAGGACCATCCAAGGGGTGTCCAATGGGCTACCCCACACTACCTATAGGCTTCCAAACAGGGCACCCCTTGGATGGTCCAGGTATGTTAATATACTTACCCTAGGGATCCACATACCGAACCTCAGGAGGTACGACTGGGCCCTCCTGGCGCCTACATAAATAGTCTCCTTCCTCACCGTACCTGAGAAGGTACTTGGATCTCTAGGGGTTAATATACTTATACAATATGTGGTGGCTTGGTCTTACCTTTAGTGTGTGCATTTCTTGGCACGCCTTCCCAAATTCTCCTCCACCATCCCGAAAAAGGTACAGTACAAAAAAAACAGCTATATAAAAGCAGTCCAGGGCTCCGCAAACCCTGGACAAGGTGGGGTGCTTGTTCTTGCTGCACAGCGCGGCGCCGTGCGCCGTGACGTTCAAGACGTCTGCCAGCAAGGCGGCGGGCACCTCCAGGCAGATGCGCCACTGGGCGCGATTCCCCAGGTAGAGCGAAGCACTCAGCAAAAGTAGGGTCACGATCTGACCTGAACAGTCGATTTGGGGCGATGTTTCAAAGAGACGCGGCACGGAGAACACACGGAGAACCAAATGGCCGAGACAAAGTGGGTGGAAATGAGTCAACTTAGAGGAGACCAGCCTTGAACCCAAAAAACAGTACCAGGACCTTCCGTTGACCGAACTTTGGAGACGTTTGTGACACTCACAAGACTCGTCATGACCTCTTGGCCTCAAGGGATCAAGTTCGGTGGGAAGATCCAGGTCTCTTGGCCTCGACTTTTAGGGGGGGGACTGTGTGGGGGGGACGTTCGTGTTCATCCAAGGGTCCAGTGACTTCTAAGAGTCCATTGTGCACAGGCGCTTGAACCAGAAGCTCTTCACCCTCGACGCTCTCCTCGGTCCGAGATGTGACTGCGAGAGCAGTCCCACTTCTTGACTGGTCGAGACCAAGCAAAGCACGAGCTTTGGTGTGATCCTCACCCTAAACCCTAAACCCTATATATAGCCACATGCAACACTCATTGTGCACCCCAATGGCTACAATAAGGATAATAACAATGAATTGCAACTAAATCTCGATCTGTCTTATAATTTTTAAAGCAGAACATGATCCACAAGTTTTTGGCGCACCTGCTCGCGCAACACGCCCGCAAGGTGCCCTCGTTAGGGGGGTCCAAGCCCAACCTTCATTGCCACTGGTCCGTCCTGTCTGATTCTCCCCTTTGCGATGCTGATAGTGAGCGCCCTGTGCATCAAACATCTCATTTCGGAAGTATTTCGGCTGAAATGAGGGACTCCAAAGGCGGTTTGACTGGAGATACCACGCCCCCCATCCGGTTTCCAGTGTAGTCATGGCTTGGAGTTCAACCCGTGCCATTGGTCAGGGTCGCTCTCACCCGAGACCTCTTCACCCAGCGAGGAGCTTGTAATTAGAGAGAGGGCTTCTTGAAAATGGTTCCTTTGGAAAATTCAAATGGGGTACCTAGACACTCCTTTTTTTGCCTACATTGACCCCCAAAACCCCAACCGATCGGCATATATGGCATCCATGGAGTGTCTGCGATATGATGAGATTCACATTTAGATCATTTAGCTTCCAATTTGCCTAGGAGGCTAAAAAAGGGACTGTCACTGGCCCAAACCACAGTTCCTTGCTTCTCCGCTTCGAATCCCCACTGGCACCGCTGAGGCTCACATTCGAAGGAGACCACGGCTTGGGTGAGACGCACGCTGGAGGCGGTGTGCAGCAAGAGCTCCAGAAGAGCAATGAGCAGCCAAAACATCGAGGCCTAACGTTGCAAGACGAGAAGAAGAACACCTTGAGCTACTACAACCCCGCACAAACAACCGGTGGGAACCTTAGGGGGGTCATGGCCGGCCCGGTCACCATCATGGCAAAGGACCGAGGTGAGCGGAGACAATGGTGAAAAACCCTCCCACATTTTGCCCGCGGTATGGCTGGTCAATGTGGCATGCGTTTGATTTGGTCTTGAATTCTTCTTCCAGGTCCATCAGCAGGATAATGAGCACAGGACGAAAGCCTGGAAAGCAACAAGTGATATATGATATAAGTGATGAAAGCTTCTGCATCCCCCGCTGCACCAGGTGTAACTTTGTTACCATTTCTTGGAAGACCAAGTCTTTTTCCTCAACTCTATCGACTGTTCGGAACAGGTGAACAAATACAGACTGGCACGGATCTCCACAAACCACTCCCACAAAGCAACAACTCCACCGGTCTCCAAGTAGTTTCAACACACCCCAAATCCACCGTGTTCTTTTTCGATAAACCTGAGCCGAGCCGAACTGCTTGGATCTGAACGCCGAACGCCACAGCTGCTTCCAGCTGCGCCGCAGGAAGCTCCGAACGCCCCCCCCCCCCGTGCTCCGCCCGTGCTCCGCCTTGTGAATGACCGTCATGTGCAGCGGCAACATCTTGGACTGCTTCTGAAGCAATCGCTCCAGCCAATCAAAGAGATTCCCGCGCTGCTCTCCTTGGGCGCTTCCAGTTGGGTGTTTGGAAGGAAGCACCATCTCTTGGCTCAAAACCCTGAGAACGTGGTCTCCTTGCAATCACTATGTGGCAAACGTGGCAGCCTTCCCCGCCTTCCCCTTCATCATGCATCAAGTCTGGCGGGCCCCAAAAACATGTCGAAAACCCACCTGGGCGCCAGACTTGAGCAACTTCCGCCTCTTGTGCGACGAAACCACCAACCCACCCTGCTGCAAAAGGTCCATCGTCGGACCCAGGTGCCACGAGAATGCCTCTCCAATTTCCCCCCCCATGTCCACCGCTTCCCCTGGTAATGACCAGACTGGCCGGCGACCATTGCTCCCAACCGTCCCAAGACGCTCCTCACCGTGCTCAGCCGGGAGTGAAAACACCACCGACCCTCAGCCGGGTCACCGGTCCAGGCCTGGATGCGGCGCCAGATCCAGGATTGCCCTCGTTGCACCGCTAACTCCTGGAAAACAAAACGGTGGGACAAACATTCTGGGGGACTGGAAAGGACCGGGGTCAACTCTAGGTGCTGCAACACCCTATAGATCCTGGAATTTTTGTGTGGCAAACTTTGAAGTTGAAACTGTTTGCAGCATTTAGCAACTGGTAAGGAATCTCTAAGAATATCTTGTTCAGGTCACCTAGACCTTGCATTCTTGGACTCACATGCTGATTGTCAAGGTGACCCTCAGAGGGTTTGGGAAAAACATTCCCAAACGATCTATGCAGGTGAAATCTGTGGCAGTCTCCTTAGCCATCCTGGCCCCTTAAACCATGAAAAACCCACGCCCCAAACACCGCCCCGTGAACGTGCCGGACTTGACCCCGGACTTGGTCAGGTCCTCCAGCTCCGCCAAATCTCCAGTGAGATCCACCCGCCAGGTGACGCGCAAGAAGGTGGAGCCGCAGTGGCAATGCGAGGGTAACACCGTCAAGGACTGGAGCAACATGGCGAAAATCCTGAAAGAGTTGCGGAGAGTTGCGACCAGCTGGTGTTTTTTGTCCTATTTCTTCTGGATGTGGTGAATCCAAATGGGGGGATGAATGGATGGATGGATGGATGGATGGATGGATGGATGGTTCTAACAAAAAAAGCATGTCATTTTCGATTATATGTGTCTCACGTTTCTATGGTGTGGGAGTCCTACCCATCCTACCCCTGTCGCAACAAAACCTGAGGGTGCTCTGTGTGTGTGTGTTATCTTGATGAGGTCCGACAAAACCAGGGCCTCATCTTGCCAAAACGAACGTCCGGCAATAACTGACTTGTGTCTTTCGAAATGAGAGCATGGTATTGAATCGTGGGATGCTGTGTTTCGACGTGCAGCATCACTTTTCGTTAAAGTGCTTGAAACAACGCTACCATTTTCATGGAATATTATATTTGGTCAAGGGTACCCATCCACTTTTTGGTCAAGGGTGCATTCCTCATCCTCAACGGGTATTAAACACGGCATGGAAAAGCCCAGTCACAGCGCACAGGCATAGATCTTCACTTCCTGAACTCCAACATGCAACAGGTCGGGAATTGGTTCATAGCAGCCAAAGCGAGAAGGCTCCCTCAAGACCCAAGATATCCGAATCTCAGTCGCCGTTGCTTGTGTAAAGCCGTTTAGTACTTTCAAGCTTGCGCTGCAACCAGTGCATGCCGGGCGGCAGATTCTCCGCAGTTTCGGTAGCAAAAGCCCAGCAAGTGGGTGTTCGCGTCAGCATAATCTTTCAGGGCTTTGCATCTCTTGGGTGTGTAAGCCTGCTCCTGATGATTCCAGTCGCGAAGCTTCAACAGCTCCAAAGAGAACAAATCAACTTAAACTCTCTTGACATTACCCAGAGAGTCCCAGGGGTATCCTTTGCACATACTTAGACTTACTGGGATTACAATTGAGCTCCTTCTTTCCACCAAAAGACGTCTCTTCTGAGCTTCGAACCGTGAACGTTCCAACGAACGGAGACTCATGCTGCCACGAACCGAACCGATCTGTTGGACTGACGTCCTCAGTGAAGGTGACACAGGCATCCGGGTCACGCAGGGACCACAAGCTGGTGATAGCAGCCAAGAGGGCGCTCAAGAGCGAGAGCAGCTGAATACCTCCAGACGAGCTAGCTGGGGACATCCTTCGAAGCAACAGCCGCAGCAGTTCGAAAAGTGCCCAGCTGGCTGGTGCGAACTAGCCGCATGTGTTTTTCATCGGTCATGGGTTCAGTACCTTCCCGACGAGACATGACGAGACATGACGACGAGCCAAGTCGTTTCGGTCATGTCTGCACCTATCTTCACCGTTTTTGAGTGCTTCGATTCACCTCCACGGAATGACCACGGACGAAACGAAGTGGCCATGGCCTCAAATAAGAAGATCCACCGCCGAAATCAGAAGACCCAAACAGGTGGTTACCTGTAGCAGCAAACTAACATTTATGAAAATTGTGGAAGACCATTTTCCTCCACAAATTAGTGGTTTTGAGAGAATGTTAATCAGCAGGGGGGTAGTTTTTCACTGAACCATGGATTGGGAGTCCCCAACTCCATCAAAGGTCAGACTCAAGGTCGCCTGGCATTCTAGCGGACTGACATGAATCAACAAGTTCACATGCGCTGCACAGGTCAAGGATGCCTTTTTTTGAACACCTGACAAGGCCAAATATACACCTCCAGAAACACCCGCATGATTTGCATCTGTTGCCTTTTCTGACGCATCTTCACGCGCCTCTTGGGAGGCGAGGATGCACCCACTGCCACCAGCCTCTTCACGCGCCTCCGACCTCTCTCTCTCCAAGCTACGCGGCTTGACGAGGCGCTCCTGGGGTCCGCTGAGTTCCTGGGAATGGCTCGCGCGTCCTCTCCGACCGCCGACCCATGGGGGCGCCGGGTGGTCAGAAAAGGTCCGGTCCGCCCACCTCTGTCCAGAGCAACCAAGGGGGTTGGATGGGGGGGCTGACCCAAACCGAGATGGTGCAATCCTCATTCAGGCACCCTCCACGAAGTGTTCGCCTGCGTTTCGGCTGTGGAACGGGTCTGAAGTGTCCCAGAAGAAGAACAGGTGTGTATAGGATCAGAAGGAGAAGGGATCACCGTGCTTTTGGAGAGGAAGAACTCAAAGCTTGATTTTGACCAATTTCCCTCCACACACTGGGCTTGTTCCACCATGATCCACCATGTCTGTTCCAAAAAGACTCATGGGGGACCTCAGGAATGCAAGCAAAAGCGATGCGTCAGGTCCGTCATATATTACACTCCAACACTCCCTGACATGGAAGTGGATGGCGCCCCCCTGTTTGGTACAGTAAAGGGTCTTCCTTTCAAAGGCTCACTTCACTCACGAATCGGCCGTGCTCGTCTTCACCCCGTGGAGCGTCTCTGAGAGGTGATGGGGTTTTTCAGGTCTCGTATGCACCGTCCCACGCGGCAATGCATGCAGGAAGGGGCGGTTGTGGCAGTGAACAACTGAATCCGGTTTACGGGGTTGTGGCTGTGATTCAGTTGTACAAGCAACATGAAGCAACAAGAAAAACAACTGAGGTGAGAACTTACAAGGCGCCAACACTGTTGTAACATGTTGTAACGCATGTCACATGTTAGAATTCAGCCCAATTTTGAGCACTGTGCAACTCCCATCATCCATCCCTGCACTCTCCCGCCCTGCAAAACACCCCCCCTGCCATCCAAGTCTCGCTTGGTCGCATCGTCCGCACCTCCTCTTCCAGAGCCCGTCCGATCAAACTCGGCTGCGGCCCCAGCGTGGGCGTGCGCCTCTGGTGGAAGAAGTCTGGGGGGCAGGCAAAACATTTGCATGGAAAAAAAACAAATGAGATGGGTGTTCAAGCAATATTAACGCAATTAGATCAACCAATTTTGTTCAATTATAGTGACAGTGGATGAAGAACATCTCTAATAAAGTCCATATCCACCTCTACTTAAGTGCAAATACACTGAGTACACCGTCTTTCCCTAAGAATGCCCGCCCACCGCTTTTTGGGGCTCAAGCTGCGTGGGCACACTGGCGAAGCAGCGGTCCTCGCAGAAGCCGCCGATCGGCCCCTTGAAGCAGGGAATCATCGCTGGGAAGCGCAGCGCGTGGTGGCGAGGACCGTTTTGGGTGGCGCGACAACGAGCCGAGGCGGTGAATGCTGGGAGCACTGGTGGGAACCCAAGGCCTTGGCCTTTGCTATGCTTTGCTGGGTGCCAAGCTGGGTTGCTGGGTGCTACAACTACGGTGGGTTCATTCTTCCAGTCGGATGGCGGAGGTATCACCTGGGACGTTCCACCGTCCGTTCCGGTCTGCGAACCCGGTGTTTTTGCTGATTGGTTCTGAGTTTGGGCTCGAATGGCAGAAGATCGATGCCCTCCCCTCCTTGAGTGGACTGTCAGGCAGCTTCATGGTGAGACCCGTCGGTTGGACGAGGAGGTGAGCTGTGATGTGGTTCTTTTGAGGTGAACAAGCTGCGCTGCGCTGCGACAAACATTGAACTTCAAAGAGCCCTTTTGCAAAGCATGACCCATTAATTACATGACCAATCTTGAGATGCAACATGGTATTTCCTCCTCAGGTTTCTCGTGGTGTCACTAGACTAGACTCTAGACCCTGCCTTTCTCCCTGTTGGTTCAGTTCATTTGGCTCCCCCAAAAGATCCTTTTCAGATCTTCACAAGACCACAAAACCAAAACAGCAATACTACCAAACGCCCTCCCAGCCTCCAATTCTTTCTCCCATCTGCCCGCCCTGAAGCGAAATCAGCTATCTTTCATGGCCCCGCTCCACACCCTCCGCTCCACCTCTTTCTCTTTTTCTTCTTTTTTCTTCTTTTCCTACCATGCATGGTCAAGACTGGTGGCTCACTGCTCCAGACCATGAACAAAAGGATGCACAAGGAAGCTGCGGCAATGACCGTTCCATTCCCAGCCTCTGGACAAAAAGAAGAAAACACATCAGTGTTGCCAATTGTTCAAGTCATGGGCAAACAGTCAAAGTCTTGAAAAGAAAAATGTGTCACGAATAACATGGTTCCTCAAAGCTCCGATTCCAATGCCTAAATGTGGGCTGATTCCCGTATGGGGTGCAAATCTGGAACTTCAGGAATCTGAAGAATTTGATATAATGTCTTGAGATTCAACGTGGACTTGGCAGCTATTCAAACGTCAGCTGGGGGAACATCGGACGGAAAGCAGGCCTCAACTCCTCAACTCCATAATTAACAAAAATAATCCGTTCAAAGAGCAACAATTCTGGGATACAAGCTTCAAAGCTATGGGACATAGGTTATCCGTCCCCCTCTTCCTTCGATGTGCTTTGCAGAAAGGGCACTGTCATGCAAAGCAAACAGCCATGGCATCGAAAGTGGTGACCATTCACAAAACCATGCCTTTTGCAGCAAGTCATTGGATCAGGCTCCCATCCACAACTTCATCAACCCACTCCCCTCTCTCCACGGCAGTTAGCGAAAAGACCTCCGCAACGCGAGTAACGTGACCTCCTCTTCTTGGAGCATCTTCTGCGCATCCAGCGCAATCTCAGAGGTGAAATGAGGCATGTCAATAGTTGGGGAGTTCAAAGGCACGACACATCAAATGAGCTGATGCACATGATGTGCAGTGAAATAACTGGTGCCTCCGAAAGAACTTGATATGGACTGGCCGGTCCTACTGGTGTCTACCAACTTACGTCCGAACCAATAGCGCAGCTTGGATCCCCGCTAACAAGACCTCAACAGGTTCTAGGTAGCTCCGCCGCTACACACCTAAAGCATGCAGGTTTACCCAACGGAAGGAAAACACAGGGTGATCGGTGGAACCACTTCATGAAGGGAACCATCTCCAAATTAACCCGGCGTATCAGCTGCTACAAGTACGAGTACTTATTATGTTTCTCCATGTCTTCTACACTCGAAGGCCAACAAAATACTGACTCCTGAAACACAACCAATTCCGAAAAACAACTTGGCCAGCCACGAGAACAATGGGAACAACTCCACCCACTGGGCCGGAGAATTCTCCCCGACGTCGTCCCAGTCGAACGGAAACGGTTCGGTGCAAACAATGCCCTTCGCGGGATGCATTTGTTGCTGAAATCAGCCGAAAGACGTTCTTCTTAAAGGCCGCGATCTTCTCCGCTGCCTCCTCCGCCTGTCTCTTGGCAATCGCCTGCCATGGAAGTGCATGACATGTAAGTGTGACTAAAGCACCAACTACACCATGCTAAACTCCAACTCTTCTTGACAGAAGCGAACAAGCGCCCGTTTTGCACAAGCAAAACCACCTCAGGGCTCCAAAACTTTTCTCGCACAAGACCCTCTTGGCACACGGTCCCACCATCGAAACGCCGCATTTGGAGCCCTAAAGGCAAGCCGTCTGTGCCTCAGGAGTGTTGTTCTTCTCCCGCTCCTTGCGTTCCTCCCAACGCGGCAAAGTATCACTTGATGCCGTTGATGGCAAATGCAAGTCTAAGCACATACAGTACAGTACAGTAAATGTCTATCTATCCTTAATCATACTGAACCATACTGAAACTACTAAGTCGCTCTTCCACGTGCCTTTGCCTCATGGCCAGAACCCTCCCCTCAGTTCTTTGGTTTTTCCACCTTAACAAGCTGATGTCAGGTACAAGTTTAGGTCTAGTCTTCGACTCTATGTCGACGCCTTCGAGTCAAACGAGGTTAACGAGGTGTATACCTTGTTTCTAGACCTCAAGACTCGAATTGCAAACCAGTCCAAATGGTGACATATATAATGTATATGCTTTAAACATCCTATAGAAAATATTGATTATATATTCATCATAAGGGGCAGTATTCACATGGCTAACCACAATGACTGAAACGCTTGCCGTTGGCATCATGGCCATGTGGAAGGAACACGGCTGCTGGAAGCGTCTTCTGTGAAGTAGAAAGCCACAGAACGCTCAGAATCTTAGCACTAGCTTCAACTAATCTGACCTTCGAAAGCTGACGATTGTAGGATACATGAGTCAAAAAAAGGGAACATCTGAATCTAAATCTAAACCGTATGAGGCGGTTGAGGTTTCACCATAAATTAACTCAACAGGTTAGTAGTTCGAGAGTATACAAAACTTATTGATGCATATTCAGTGTTCATGACTTGGCTATGGCCAAATATGGGCCTTCCTGGAGGGAAACAAAAACATGAATGCCATGCACAATAAAACTTACTGCTGGAGGAGGAAAACATATTTATATACAGTATACGACATTGAGAAAACCACCACCAACCTATGGGGATTCCTGTGCCATCGAACCTTCTTGAAACCACTGCAATTCGATTTGGTGGTCTCAGCCCGAATTCGGTTTCCTACCACCCCGAGAAATGCCTGTGGCTGAAACCACTATATATCTTGGTCATTCTTGGTCTATAGTGGTTCCAGGTTTCCATCGGTTTCCTCTCCGCACTTCGCCCGCTCTCTTCGCCCGAAGGGTGTCCTTGATGAGTTCCTCGATGGACTTCTTCTTCTCTGGCGACCTGGGAAGTCCGGAAGTCGAAGAAACGCAGTCCATGAATATTCTGTAGGCAGTCACCAAGGAACCAACTATTTGAACCGATCTGTGGACGTACACGAGTCATTGATTCAAGAAGAGCTGCCCACTGAGCTGCTGCGAAGCCGGAGCAAACCACTTTCAGCTTTTCCGGGGGGTTGTCCCACAATGAACATTATTCTACACGCAACCCAATCCATAGCTTTCGTCAAGCATTGAACAAGCCAAAGGCCCTGTGGCCAAAAAGACAACATGAACCATTCATCATCATTCATCTTATTTGAATGCTATCATCTGCAAACTAGTCAGGTTCAATTTGTTCACATTGCATTGGGATGCTGCATCGAGGTATGTCCTTCAGGGGGATATCAGTGTAAGGTTGTGTGCTTTCTTGACAGGCTTGATGGTGCTGAATTCTTGCATTCGACTCGTCTTCCTCGCCTTCGACGTGTGGGCGTGTGGAGAATCGTGTTCGTGTATCGGGTGGAGGGCTCTCAAGAATGTTTCACCTTAGACGGAAATGGTTATATGGGGAGAGTGTCCGAAGTTCATGGCAATTTTCAAGTCTTGCATGGCATAGTTCTGAACTCGGTCCCAACACATTCCAAGATGTAGGAGAGTCACCCATTATAAGATTTACAAGTTCTGAGGTCTTTTGCACCGTTTCAACGGCCGGCCATCTCAAAAAAAGAGGCTTTCGGTAGGCCATGGGTCGTTTTTCAGTGCCTGTGTCACATGTCGTGATTCATCTGGTACGAAAACTTCATGTAGACAGCTGATTAGTCAAACTCCCAAGGCCTGGAGATGTCCAACCCTTCTGATCCTTTTATCATCAAATTACATGCTAGAGCTAGAGGCACTCAACTGGAAGGAACACTGTTCTTGGAACACCATGTGTACATCAGTCTTTGAAACGCCAAAAGGAGGCCCATCTTCCCCGGCGGATCGTCGTTGATCTTCCCCCAACACCCCAACGCCGCATCGGTCACCTCGGTCACCGAAAGCGCCCCGTCCGGGCGGCTCGCTCTTCTTGGGCCGAGAGAAGGACGGACTCCTCAGCCGCAGTGCACTGGACGAAGGCAGCGGTGACGCGCTCAGCGACATCATCCCGGGTGAGCGCTGGGAAGACACACCACCTGTGTGGTTCTTCTGGTTCATCCTTCTGGGGTGGTCATCCCTGAATGGGGGCCATGCCATCAGGCAACCAAGTGGCTGCAAGTCCCTGAAATCATCATGGAAGTAGAAGGCATGGCGGCATTGACCCAAATTCCACCATTACCAGTCACCCAAATACCCAATGAGGTGGTTTGGTTTCCACTTCCATGATGATCTCAGTGTAGGGTCATCCTTATACCTGGGTATATCCAGTAGCAGTGGATTTCCCTAACATAGTGATCATTGTTTACCAACTGTTGCAGGTCATGGGGCAAACCCAGCCTATACCCTTTTCCGGCCAGGTATAGCGTGGCTGAGTGGCTCAGTGCTGATCCTGGCCGGTGCGGTACCCTTCAAAGGGGCAAGGCTGAAGAATGAATTCACAAAATGCCTTCTTAGAATAAAACGGAACAAACATCTTGGTCTTCGCTGTGAACATCTGTCGCCAAGGCTGAAAAGCTAGGACAACGCCCCCCCCCAGAACCGCCGTGGCCACGAAAACAAACAAGCGACTCAACTGCTCACCTATGCAACCACCCGTGGACGGCATCTACGATCAAGTTCATGTTTGAGTTTACATGGCCATTGGATGCTTAAAGCCCCAAGCAGCTATAGGGTCTGTTCCACGTTTGTGGCGTACTGGAACTGCTAAAGTGTTCGACTTTTAGTTGCCCAACGACTAAACACATCACATCGGGTGGTGGAATATCCATGAACAAAGTGTTAAACAAGCAACATATCAAAATACCCAACACTCTGGTTTACAGCATGTGAACGTGCATCGGAGCGTGTACTTCCCCAGCACCTTTTGTGCACCCCGTCAACTTCTCCCTTTGTGACGACTTGGGAAAGCCACACATGTTACAACCGCCAGACTCCTACAATTCCCACACTCATGCCAAGCTGCTTCATCTTCCGGCGCGAGGGGCTTCTCTTCCGCCGGTTCGAGGGGCTTCGGCGCCTGGGCAAAGGGTCAATGGGAGGTGTGCAGGAGGTCGTCGCAGGAGGCTTTAGAATTGTTGGACGATGAGGAAATCTGTTCCCTCTGAAGCCCATTCGAAAGCTATAGGCTATAGGCTACTAATATAATAGTTCAGGGGCAAAGTACACACAGT